TTTATATTTTTAATTTATATTTTTAATTTATATTTTTATACATAAATTTATATTTATGTTTATAATTATATTTTTAAATATTTATTTATAACAAAATTACAGTTTACTGAAACCCAACTTTGAATATAACAATCTAAGGAAGATCAAAAGGGTGCACACCTACACAAAGATCAGCTCATGGCTCATTCTGACCATTTCATGTCATTGAGAGCAGTTTATTTTCTGCTTTCTGTTCCTCGTCTCCTTAGATCCCCCTTTCCTTTCCTTTCCTTTTCATTTCATTAGCTCCCTCATTCTCAGCCGTACAGAGCGTCTACTCTTGCTTTTCTCCCTTATGTCTGTCTCTTCAATTGTTCTCTCAAGTGTTTGCTTTCATCTCTACAGATCACACTATGCAATCAGAGGGCTAAACAATTTTGTGTCCTTTTGATTTTGTGCAAATGCACACATGCACACATACAAAGGCATACACACACTGACAGACGCACAACAACATCTCATTTACTCGATTCTGTCTATCTATATTTACGCTTCTTCGCTGATTAAATGAAACATGGTTTCTTTATCTTTCATATGGATTTGTTGATGGTTAAACAACCCAGATTAGCACTGATTCATCCAAGTCTGTCAGTGTAGAAGTTGCCAATTAACTGCTTTTTCATCATACAGAAGGCTGCATGCTTGGGGTCGTTTTATTTTTAAAGAATAAGGTACGGTCTGAATCTATAAGCCGAGAAAGCTTAGAGAAGAACAGTAAATTACTCTTACCGTCCACTCACAACAAAACAGGCCACTAGTAAGACCAGAAGCACTGCACCGCTTGCCACAGAGATGGCCAGTATGGTTTGCTGGTTGGGATCTCCAACCGCCAGCATATCTAATAGAAAGAGAGAGAAACCAACATTAAAGCAGCGATTAACTTCAGTGGTTCCTGCATTTGTGAAAATTTACCACAGTTCTGGCATATCCAATATCCATAGTTTAGATTTATTATTTTAGGTTACATTTCTATGAATGCATAAAAAAATGTGTGTGTGTGTGTATATGTACAGTTGTGCTCAAAATTATTCATACCCTTGTTAAATATGATCAAAGAAGGCTGTGAAAATAAATCCGCATTGTTTATCCACTTGATATTCCATTCAAAAATAAAAAAAAATAAAAAATTCTAATTTCTATTTTTCTATTCTATTTTTCTCTAATACAGCAAGAGGACGTGTGTCTATATCGTCCTAATGCCCGGTGAGGAGGAGAGTTTGAGTGGCCAAAGACTCCAAGGATCACAGCTGGAGAACTGCAGAAAATAGTTGAGTCTTAGGGTCAGAAAGCCTAAAAAAAATGTTGTTTGGGAGGGTTTCAAGAAAAAAATTGGAAAAGAAAATGCTCTCATCCAAAAACAAACTTGAGCATATTTATTTGCTAGACATGACTGGAACTTTAAATGGGACTGGGTTCAATGGTCAGATGAAACTTAAAAAATTTGCTTTTTAGCAGCAGACACTCAAGATGGGTTTGGTGCACACAGGGATAAAAAAGTACCCCATGTGTGCAATGAAATATACTGCTTAATCTTTAATGTTGTGGGCCTATTTTTCTGC